GCATTTAGCACACAGCTCATACCAGCTGTGGCACTTACACACCTCAGACTCCTTACCACAAACCAGTTCTGATCTAGCTCTCAGGGTGACCTGCACCTCCTCCCCAAAAACCACAGGAATTAGAATTTCCTGCTGGTTTTACAAACTTCACGGCAGCTTTGCAAATGCAAATCCCAGCAGGTCCCTGCTTTCCAGAGCACCCATCCTCAGCCATCTCCACTTCCCTGGAAAACTGCTCCAGCCCCGGGCTGTACCAAGGTGAGCACAAGTCTGGAGAGGTCAGAACCCTCACCTGGACTGCTGCACTCGGAGCGAGATCCAGCTACAAATGGAATTCCAGAAACAGCCTCCAAAATGTTCCATAATCACACCTTTAAAATGGCTCCACAGGGCAACAGCTCCAGTGCCAGAGCAGCACCTGCACGAGTCCTTGTGCCAGCCCTGGCTCCCTGAAAAACACAATAAACCAACATCACACAGGCCTTGTTTGCAGAATTCCTGATCCAAACCCTCACCTTTCCTGCCCAGCATTGAGGGAAATCTGACACGGTATTCACAGGTAACCTTTGCTGAGAGCAGCCATCACCCCAGTCCTCCAGCCTGGGCAAGGTTTTGCAGTGAATGGACCCAACTTCTAACCCTGAACCTAAATTTCTGTCAGCTTTTGTTGGAAAGATACTGGAGAGAAAATCATACAACAGATTTAAAACATTGCACGAGGAATAACCGGCCCAGACAAAACCAAACCACCCCCATCTCTGCTCCACCCCATTTCTCCCAGTTTTGGGAGAAATACTGATACAATTTGTAAATACTCCCCTTCCCTGCTGCACTGTCCTTCACTGCACGTCCCTGGAGAGGATTTACTCCATTTTCTGTGCCCAGCAGCACCTGTGCAGCCCAAATCCCACTCCTCGCAGACACAGCCTGAGCAGAGCTCAGGCAGTGTTCCCAGCAGCGGATGCAATTCCGAGTTCCCTGGATTGCTCACGGGGCACTCGCAGCAATCTCCCCTCAGCCCAGACTCTCTGTGCTCAGAGGGAAGCGCAGCCCGATGGGACACAGCTCTGGCACCACATTCCCCTTGTTCCTGCTGGCCTGGAAAGCCACAGATAAACCCAGTCCCTCCGACCTTGCACCCTGAACCCCAGGAGAGCCGGAGCTGAACCCAGATCCCGGCGCCCTGCACGGCTGCGCTGACACCAGCACAGGCTGAGCGCTGCCCAGCACCCTTCCTCATTTTCCTCCCTCTGCTCCCAAATCCTGCCAGCCCTCCCCTGCAGCTCCTGCCCCAGCCCCAGCAGAGGCTGGGACCCAGCCCTGCAGCAGCTGGCAGAGCTGGGAATGCACCGAGAGCTCGGCTCCCCGGGCTCCCAGCCCCAGACCAGTCCTTGGGTGCCCGAACAATGCCCAGCCTGCCCCCCTGGGCACAGCCAAACACCACAGCTCCGTCAGCCCCAAGGAACTCTGGCATTTGCCTCTTCCCTGCTGCCCTTTCCCAGCACACAGGGGTACGGCTGGGCTGTCAGAAATGGCATTCCCGAGGCAGTTAATCCCAGCAGAGAGGAAAAGGGGAACCCTGCGTCCCTCTGACTTACCCCACAGCGTGGGCAGGACCAGGAGCCCTCCAGTGCACACCCCTGGTGCTGAAGCCTCTTGGCTCTGGCTGCTTAAACACTGAAGCTTCTGGCAAAGATGGGAGGAGCTTAATGATTTCTCCTGTCCTGAAAGAGAGGAGGAAATGAACATTAAGTCTACTGTGGAAGCCAATGGATCCCGGCTTTCACACTTCTGCTGTGATTGCTCACCAGGGGGTTTTATCCATGAGAGGGGACAGCAATTCAAATATAAAAGCGTTTTTATTCCTAACTATTTCATTAAAAGGAAGCTCATTTCTCTATTGCATTCTTAGCCTAATTTTAACAGAACCATTTTTATCCATGGCCCCACTTGTCCGTCATTCAATCCTTTACCACGGGACTTTATACAAAGGAAGGGACACCTGGGTGATGTGTCACAAGAAATCCCAAAGAGAAACGTGTCCAAAACCTCACAGAGAAAGGTTTCAAGGCACTCCAGTGCACAGACAGCTGCTCATGCCTTGTCAGGCCACACCAGTTCTGTCACATCCACCTGAGCTGTGCAGGCGAGGCAAAGGCTGCCCTTCCTCCCAGGGAACACTGTCTGAGACCACAGAGAGCCATCCTGGGTGAAAGGAATGAAATGAAAATGTTTTCTGGCAGAAAATGAGTGTCTGTAATCAGAACCTCTGGACAGATTTAGTAACACCATTTTCATATGACAAATACAGGCCATGCCCATCCTTCCAGGCCAGGTGAAACCAGGAAGGAGAACTACAGGAAAAGCAGGAAGACAGAGCCCCTTATTTGGATATATATAGAATGCCCCTGGTTTGGTGGTTTGCCTTTGCTCCTAAGCTTTGGCTTCACCCCTCTCCAGAGGAGCAGGGAATTCCTCCAGGGTGAGGGGGAGTCTGGTCCCACTCCAGGATGTGTCCAGTAAAGGAGGGAATTTGTTTAGAGTAAGTGAGCAGTGTTTTTGTTACACACAAAAATCAAACCAAACAAACACTGAATTGGACTACACCGAGCTGCAACACAGAGTGTTCACAGCAGGCAGAGGCCAGAGGAGCACACAGCACCCAGAAGTACCATTTCACTTGGTTCTTCTGCTCTCATGCATTTTAATTCTGCTTCGCTTCACAGCTGCTACTCTGCCAAGGCCATTTCCATTTTCAGAAGCCTGTGTCACGTGTAGCCGAGGCTGGACATCCTCACTTGGGATTTCCACGTCACACCTGGATTTGCCAGGAAGCACGTGCACACACGTATGCCCATTTCTGTGATACGTCAGTCAGAAGTCATGCAACCCAACAACTTGCTCCTCACTGCACCACTTAGAAATACATTAAAAAGCCAGAAAAAACAAACAAACAAACAAAAAAACAACAACCAAGCAAGAACCCACAAAAGAGAGAGCTTAGTGCAGCACCATCCTAATGTTCTGCTCAGTGGTGGAGAGAAAGAAGGAGGAAAGCTGTTCTTCCAGCACTCCCAGTTCTGGAGCAAGAAACAGCCAATATTGCCCTCACCTGCAGCTTCCCTCCTTGCTTCAGCCGTGCCCTGACTGCTGAGGGACCAGAGGCACCACACAACCCAAAACTGCCAGCACCCACACCCACCACTGGTACGGACATCTTCATGTTCCACCTTTGGCCAAACAAACCCCAGGATGGTTCTGCTTTCCTGACAGACTTGGCAAATTTCATTGGCACTTACCAAGGCAACAGACGCCCTGTGTGGCTCCGGGGTCAGAACCCGAGGGAAGATGGAGGGAAGGCTCCAGCAGCAAACTGAAATCCCAGACAGGCAGTGAAGGCTGCTTCTGGCAGGCTTCTTCTGGCTTTTGGGGCACAGGAACGGCTTTGGGACCGTTTGCATCCACGTGAAAAGCCCACACTGAGCACTTGGCTTTAAAGATGTTGCACTTAATGCTACAGACACAGAATTGCTCTGGGATTTGGCATTTCCTGCACCCACACAAACACATTAAAAGAATTAAGTGCAGAGTCCTGAAGTTCAGTTATTCCAATTCTGTTTTGGTAGGGTCACTTGGCATACCAAAACCCACAGCAACACTTAAAAAATGAAAAGCAGCTTCCCCCCCACCCCCAAACTTTCAGCTTTCCAGTTTAGGGGTCCTCTTAAGAGCAGGTTAAAGAAAAGAAGAAGAAAAGTCCAAGACTTACCCACCTAGTGTACCAACCACCCGTTCTCCACAGATTTTCATTACCTCAATGGCTTTTCTAAGAAAATAAATTTGTACATGTAAAAACCTGTCCAGCAGGCAGATGTTTCTGAGCCCACACCTCGCAGGTAAAAGATCAGAGGAGGAGTGGCACAGAGGGATCCAAAAGTGCTCAAGAGAGGTTTGAGCTGATGTATTTGGGCAGGATTATTTGAACCCAAAGTGCTCTGCAGCTGCCCCAAGCCTGGAGTCTGCAGAAACAAAATGAGCTCCCCCTCCTGCCTCATTTTCTGCCCTCTCTGCTCAAGGGAGAATCACACCATGCAAATGATGGCAGAGAAATGGTGAGACCTGTCCAGTGCCCCCAGGAGGGCTGGCACCAGGGCTCATTCCCTCCTCTGGCTGATGGAACTTAAACCCAGCTATTCTGGGATTTAGGGAGCAAAACCCAGCTTTGCCACTTGCTGTTGCACTCCCTGCCACATCTGCACAGCAGGAATATTGCTGTGTTCTGTGTCACACCCAAAGCAGCAGCCCTGGGAGTGCTGCTGGAACCCAGACACCTTCCCCTTCTCAGACACCAAGCTGACTAGTCAGCCCCACACTCCTCCAAGGTCACAAAAAACACAAACCACTAAAAAATGGGTATTTTATACCAAACAGGACCCATTTCTGAGGTCAAACATCCCACGCTTCTTCCCTGAGCATTCCCAAGGCTTTTTGACACAAAAGTAGAACTTTGCACATGAAGGACCATTTACCTTGTAACAATATCCTCCATAAAACTTCCCACAGAAAAGCCAGGCACTTGTAACACCCTCAGGAACACATTCCACATGAAGTACCTCCTGCCACATTCCAGCCCAGCTTTCCTCCAAGATTCCAAGGTCAGCACAACTCTTATCTGTAACTTAGGGAACCCGTGGCCGCAGCAGCCCCGGGAAGAAAAAAGGCATTTGGTGGAGCCAAGGAATGGAGGAGCTGCCCTGTCCCAGCTCTGCCTCCTCTGCCAGCAGCAGGGGAGATGCAGCTCTCAACCATAAGATCAGTTCAACCTTACAATAATCACCTGGCAACGCTATTGGCCCCAAAGTCCAGGGCATCATCTGTGTGCCATCTCAGGAAGTTCAGTCGACCTTTGTGGGACAAACCCTGTTTTGGGCCCAAGAGCAGACTCCAATCCCTGCCAGCTGAACTATCCAGCTGTAGGATCAGTGTTCAAAATAACCATTGGATCCTGAAGGGCAGAGTTGGTAACGCTCTGTAAAAGCCCAGGGGAGAGCCAGGCTCCAAGGGCAGCCCTTGGTGCCTCCAGCAGCTGCTGCTGGAAACGCTGGCAGGACTCAGTACAGACGGGACTGAACCTTGAGACAGCTCTGTCCCCTGGGACCCAGGGTGCCAGGCCAGAGAGACTGATGGAAATATGACACAAGCTTGATTTAAATGGACACTGATGGGACTGAAAGCCCTGCCCGGAATGTGGGAAATGGATTTGTAGAGAATTCTCAAAGCTTGACAGAAGGCTCACAGAGTGTGCATCTGTATGCAGAATTTGAGGTAAGAAATGCTGACTTAGAAATGCTACGGAATGGGACATTGAGAGAGATAAATCTTCCTCACACAACGCACCAATTTATCAGATTATGCCCTTTTCTGACCCAGAGATGGGGCAACTGAGAAGTGTTTTTAAAAACTTTTATTCTATTTTCAGTCTCACATGAAGGGTGAGACAATACAGGTGTTCTAATTCACACCATCACAATCAGAAGCCAACTATTTCCTAATCACATTATAAGTGTTTCTTGGTCCATTAGCTTTTGCTACATTATTCTGTAAATGCCTTAAAACCAATCATCTAAAACAACCCCTCATGAATCTTATTACAATGCATCTTTCATAGCTCTATTTCTCTAAAGTATCTAGTCTTATTTACAAACTCATCCTTTAACACTTGTTTCCAGTTCCATTTCTCTCTCAACAATGTCTGTCCTATTCCATGGCATTTCTAAGTCAGCATTTCTTATCTCAAATTTTCCATTCAGATACATACTATGTAAACCTTCTGTCAAACTCTGACAATTTTCTACAAGTCCATTTCCCACAGCAGAACTGCTGCCTGCCCAGCACAGGAGCTGCAAGTGCTGTTGCAGGGCACAATGTCTGAAGGAACACTGGAGCTGTGACATTAAAGCCAGCAAAAACAATTACTAAGTAGAAAGAGATCCTCACCTGCTCCAAGAACTGAACCTCTGTGGCTCATCCTCATGGGGTGACCCTGCTCCAGGGAGGAATCTCCACACAGCCCCCGAGACCTGGGATCAGACGCCGACCCTACCAGCAGAAGAACAAGGGGTTAGTGAAGCTTTTTGGACACATTCTGTCCTCAGAGTGGTCTGACAAAACACCCGTCAATGCGGATCTTTAATAAAGGCAGCTGGTACCTATGCTTGCAACAGACTTTCGTGTGCTATTTCCTCAAAGTCTCTGTTTTAATGCATTTGATATTAAAAGTGTTTCAACAAGATTTACCATGAGCTCTGCCATGCTCCAAGCCCTAAGGAAGAGCTGGATATCCTCACACTCACCCAAGCTGAGGCAGCTCTCACATGGGGAGGGAGCTGCTGCAGCATTTAACAACACTTAAAAATCACCCCTGCCTTGAGGGCGTCCAGACCTGGGAGAAAGCCCTTCCCACCACCCTCTTGGATTTCTCTCCCTGCCACTGGCTTTGCTTCCAGCTTGGGAAGGTTTGTCCTGGGGCCATTTCAGCAGCACAAAGGGCTTTTCCAACCTCAGGGGTTCTACGGGAGCTGTGACTGACCCAGCTGCGCACCCAGGCACGGGGGAAGCTCTAAACACAGATTATCCTGCCCTGGGCCAGAGCACTCCAGGGCATCCTTGGAACAGCTGCAGAGAGCAGGAAAAAGACACAGCTGCAGCACTGATCCTGCTCCCGCTTTCCCAGAGGGGCAGGAACACCATTTCCTCCCGATCCTGAGAGCTCCAAGGGAAATCCCTGTTAGGGTGGCACTGAAGGTGCCACTTTTCTGCCACCCTTGCCCTAGAACCACGGCCCAGCAGGTTTCTGTGGGAGCGGGGATTGTTGGTGCAGTTCAGAAGCTGCACATCCCTAAAGCATTTCCTTAGGAACATGAAGCTTCCCACGTGCATTTTGTAGTCCAGTTAGTAATTTCAGCGTAGTTCAAGAGAGTTTAAATCGGAATGAGGTGACTTGGTGCCAGCACAGCATTAGCTATGGGCCATCAGGAGACTCACCAGACGACATTCTCTGCAGAGCCTCCATTCTCAGCACTCCAGCTGCAGTATTCGCATTTCTCACGGACTCCGAGCTGTGTTTCCAGGGCTCCCATCAGGAAACTGGCGGCCGCTTCCAGGTGCAAATCCCCAGGGCACCCCTGATCCCAACCACTGCTCCTCTCCCCCCGGACCCCCCTTCCTCCACCTTTACCCCTTTTATAACCACAGCCCGCCCAGGACACAAAAGGAGGCTCCCAGATGCATCAGGAAATCAATAGAAATAAGCTCGTCCCTTTTGGGGTAATGAATTATCTTTTTCTCCATTCCCCCTTCTGTCTCCTGTTCCTGTTTCCTAAGGCAAAACACCTGGACCAGGTGGGGGTCGGGGGAAAATGTCAAAACCGAGCCAAACTTGTTTTTCCAGCGGTTTCCATCAGGACTGTTCAGGTTTCCCCCGACCCTCGGCCGTACCACGGGAGCAGCTTCTCCGTGCGACCCCCGGGGGTGGCACAGGGACCCCACCCCGCTGCTCCCCGGGAAACAGAGCCCAGCGCAGCCCACAGAACCGCGGCAGCGCAGCTGGGAGCGCGGCGCGGGCTTTATTCCCTGGCACACGATCCCGGGGAGCCCCAAGTGCCGGGACAAACCCGTCCCGCACACGGAGCATTTGCTGCAGGGGATGTTTCTGAGGGGATCCGCCCGCGCTGCTCCGGCCCCGCCCCGCCCGCGGCCCTGAGGCGAGCGGCGGCCCCGGCTGTGGCGGGCGGCGGTGCTGCCGCCGTGTGGGCAGAGGGCGGTACTGCAGCCCCGCCGGGGGGCGCGGGACCCGCTGGAGCTTCCCAAGATGGCGGCGTTGGAAATGAGAATTTGTCCGCCTAAATTAATAGGAAAAAATAAAATATTGATTTTGCAATCAAATTCTATCTAGCCAGCCACAAGGAAAGAACAGCCGAGCCCGGGGTCGGCGCTGGGTGTGCAACAAGAAGTCAGCCTCAGCAGAGGTTTTCCTCTACACCCACACACCTCCATCCTGGCACAAGCGGTTTTTATAGGGAAAATTCCGCCTGAAGCTAAGACTTCGGCAGTCAGTCTTTTCTTCTATTCAGAATCTAGAGGTTAATAAGATTTTCTTTTTTGGCGATGAAGAAGAACAATTCAGTGTCAGGAGTTGGTGAATCCCTTGATGAAATTTAGGGGAACGCTGCATTTACATGTATCTGCCCGAGGATTTCTAAGATATCCATTTCGGGTCGTTCAGGCAATGATCAGCGCCTGGGGTCCCCCCGTATCTCTCCAGACATGGCCCATCTCCTGGCCAGCCACATCCTTTTACGTGTCAATCGGGTTTCAACACACCCCGGGTTCGTCTGCGAGGGTGGGGGGGGGAGTCCTAATACAAACGTGTATGCTCCAACAAATACTCAATATCACATATATCATATATCAATGGCGCAAATTATAGCTAATACACATAGCAGCGGCAAAAAGGGCACTTGCTAACTTTAAACTGTTAGAGTTTTGTCCGTCACAGTTAGATATAGGTACTAGATCAATATCCCTACTTTTTTAATAAATCAGAAGCTACTGTGCTGCAGGAAAGTTCCGACCTTGTTGCATTTCTGTAATTTGGTGGGATGAATCCCATGGCTGGAGTGTCACTACTGATAGCTACAGCCTGTTCAGAAGATACAGGGGAGGAAGGGGAGATGGAGGGATTGCCCTCTACATCAAGAAGTGGATTCCGTGTGAGGAGCTGTGCTTGAAGAACAGCCATGAGCAAGTCAAAAGCCTGTAGGTAAGAATCAGTGACCAAGGCAGCCAAGGAGCCCTGTGGTTAGTATCTACTACAGGCTGCCTGATAAAGGGGATCCTACTGCCAAAGGCTTCTTTCTAAAGCTGCAGGGAGCATTGTGCTCATAGGCTTTTGTCCTGCTGGAGGGCTTCAACCACTGTGCAGTGCAGATCCTTCCTTGGCAGGTGACTGAAACAGAGTTTCAGTGACCTTTTCAGTTAAGGTCTGTCACATGCAAGGAAATGTTACTTTTGGCATCACTAGAAATTAATGCCAGCTGTAGATATGACAAAATCACAAGTCTCTTGCCCACTGAAAATTTTGAAAGAAAGCTGAATGTCCTCAGCAAGATTTAGGGTCAAATACAAAGAGCCACATCTCTTACCTGATTAATTTCGTAGCCACGATTTCATGTCTTTTGACTCTTAACATGGACAGTCTTAAGCCGTACTTTGTCATCATTTGGCCAGCTCATGAGGTTTTTTTCTTTTTAAAATTGTATTTTCTCAAGGCAGAAAAACTGCAACTATCTATCTTTGAGTAGACGAGCACATACAAAGTGTCAGGGTGAAAGATTACTCATATCAGCAAGGACAAGGCAGGTATTGAAGGAGACTGTTGAGGTAAAGGTAAAATCTTAAATGTTAAAACTGAAGACAGAGCATCACTAAGTCTAATAAAAGATTTGTCTATTTGCTTTTAAACTTATACAAAGCAAGACAAAGTATATTATTATAACTACTTCAAATCTAATAAAAAATGTGCTGAGGTGTGCATTAAGACAAAGGTGGAAGTTTACAAGTTTTACAAGTTACAAATGCTTAAAACACTTTTTGCTAGGGATAGATAGCATTGCATCAGGCAGTTTACTATTCCAACCACTCTTGAAAGATTTGCATCTCAAAAAGATATGGCATATGAATTCTTAAATTAGACCAATAATGACATACACCCACAAAGAAAAGCATTCTCTCTTCTCCTCCCTTTCTTTTCTGCTTTCTTGTCATAGAGTGTGACTAAGGAGAAACTGAAAGACTCCATGAGCGACAGAGCTGACTCCAGTCAGTCCTCCCTGATGGAGTGATCAAAGGCCAACTGTAGTGGACAAAACAGGGCTTTACCCTTTGAAGTATATTTCATCCTGTTGAGATCAGCACAAATACAAGGGATTAAACTGATGTCCCATGGCTGCCATCCAAGCTATGAAACTGGAACTCAGTACCACCTGCAAGTTTTTTTGCTTGAATCCTTAAAGTAATGATCCTCTCTATCTCCATCCCTTAAAATCCAATTCTGTCAGCTTTTCCGTGTTCAGAAATGAACTAGTTAAGATAGCACTGAGGAAAAAAAGAACAAAATAAACCTATTTTATTGTGTAAGTAAGTGGATTTGAGATGAAATTACTAAAAGGTAAGAATAGATGGACCCCCAGACAGAGTTCTCTTTTTACAGTTGCACTTGAGGATTGTACTTCAAATATGGTTACACTGAATCCTTCCCCCCCTCCACATTGACTGCCTCTTAATATTAGAATCTAATCTGCCACAAAATTGCATGAAATAAAACAGTGAGAAATATACTTGAGAATGACTGTTGTTTACAAAGAAGGTAATTTATAGTATACAATTACTGATAAGGTAGAACAAGAGTTCAAAAACTGGACTGCATTACAAAGCACTTCTTCAAACATCAATTTTGGATTATTGCTGTAAGGTACTAACTGGTCTGTTCTAGACTAATTTACAGACATTCATAAAACAGTGAAAAATCCATGCTTTAGAAACCTGGGACATTTCATGCCTTTGTGCTAGCAGAACATGAAAATGGAAGTGATTGGCATTTTTCCATGTAGGTTAGTAGCATTTAGAGTTTTTATTCTGGAGTACTAACAGATGCTTCCTATTTTTTCTCTTTTTTTTCAGGTGATTTTTCATCTTCAGGTTTAGTCCATGGAGGGCTATGAAACTTCTGTAAAGGTAAAAACATGGTGTATAGAATACATATATACATAAACAGAAATAAAAAAGTGTGTTAAGATTCCATGGCAATGGAATTGTCCCTAGAAATGGGTCCTGATCTCTATTAAAGAAAGCATAATTAACAACCTTCACAGTGCAAAACCATACAAGTCTGATGCTACATACAGCTTCATATCAATGCATATTATAAAAACAACATATATATATATGTATTTAATTTTTAATTATTTTGGAAATCTCTCCTTACTCCTGCTTCCAGGGCTATACACATCACACTGTCAAATTAAGTAATTTGATTGTAATTCATTTGACTACCAGCTTTCCAAATATTTAATAGTTTGCAAATTGTTACCAGCCAGAAAACATTTTGAACAAATCGGTTACAATCAGACACAGTCAAAGTCTGAATTAAGTAGTCTTCTCTTTTGAGACAGAACCTGGTGAAGAATGTGTAAGTATACTTTAAGTACCTGAATTTCACAAGACCTTTTAGTAAAACCCCAAAAATTACTCTGGAAGAGAATACCTGAAAGCTTGTCTCTGTTTCTGCTGCTTTCAAACGAGATGTTGAATTATTATGATTCCCCAAACATGTCTTGGCAACCTGTCAATAGAAATGTCAGAGATAACTACTTCCTATTTTTTTCCAAAAATATTCAGTTTTCAAAAAAAAAAAAAAAACCAAAAAAACCCAAAATACTTAAAAAACACAATTTGGGTCTTTTAAGCCTACTTGATGAAATGGAACAAAGTTTTCATATCTAAGCTTATCCCAGACTCCCATCATCCCTGTAAAAGTCTTCAACAATATAGTCTTGTGACAGCAAGTTTAACAACTTGATACTTATCCAGATTTTTTTCTTCATGTTTAAATCTCATCACCAATAGTGAAGTTTACTTCTACAAGTGGTCCTAGGGAACAGAAAATTAATTACAAGTGTCTTTTATGGGTGAGGAAATAGTAACAAACAGTAGAAAATCAGCATTACAGTTAGAACTTCTCTATTACTATTCTCTTGGCTATACACTAGATCTCTTAGGTATAATAATCCCTGAATAGGAATATAAAGTCACTGAATGAGAAGTCAGATGATTCTCAAGGCAGAAAATCTTGCTGCATTACTTGCTGTCATTTTATTCAAGAAATAATGTTGTATTCTTTGCCAATATGCTTTTTAATAGCTGGGAAAGCAGAGTTGCACAGCATAAATAAAAGTAATTACAAAGTGGATTTTTGAACTAAGGAGATCTTCAGATATGAAACCAGAGATTTACTCAACACTGAAAATTCTACTGTACTTAAATCCAAGTCCCTTCAGGAGTAGGATTAAGGATGCCATAAGAAAAGGAGTTGAAAGATTAAATACAGTCAAATATTCATAATACTTGGTCATTACTCTAAAATGAGTTCACATTGGAATTTCTCTACTTGTTTTGCTATTAAAAGTGACACATTTAAATGGAGGGAAAATGACAAGGTTTTTTTTAAGTTTAAAGTCATCAAGACTCTTTCCAAGGTAACAGTGGGAGGGGTTTAGTCATGTTTAAGCTACTGAAGGCAGCCTCTGAGATGATGCAGATGGATTTGATGTGGGGAACTCTTTTTCATACTTTCCCACTCTAGACAGTAGAAGCAAAAATTGGATTAATGTAGAGAATAATCAACACAGTATTGATTAAAACAAAGTCTATTGATAAAGCACCTACTCCTTTTATGACAGAAAATCAAACAAAACATCAAACAAACGTGGTTTATGTCCTAGATAAAGACTAAAAAGTCAGATGACAGAGTAGAAATTTTTAGTAGTCTTGTAATACTTCAAAACCTTATACATGCGATCCTGTCAAAACTTCCATTTAAATTATTTACTCTTAATCTAGATTTTGAAAAAAAAAAATTCAAGCTGAATTATCTTCAGAAAAAATGAAGATTTAGGTGACTTCTAGGTGTGTGGCTTGAGGACAAAAGATACTATAGGTCCAACAATCAATAGTATTGCAAAATGTGTAATGAAGAGGATAGAAATAATGCTAATTAAATATGATCATTTACATATCCAGAATTTTCTCTAACTGTACCTACTAGAACATGAAATCAGGTGACCTATTTCACCAACATAATTTATAGGACATAGGAAGCAAAAACTATTAATTGCATTAATAAAGCTAGAAGTCAGCTTCTTAAGACATGCAAAGGAAAAAAAAAAAAAACAGGTCTGCTTTAGAGAAAATAAAAGTGAACAATAAAACAATGCTGTATGAGTGAGTAGTCTTGCATACTCTTTTCATAGGCCAGATAACAAAGGCTATCTTGATAGGAAAAGAGCAATAACGACTTATGTCTGTATTATTTCACATTTGTTCACTCAGAGATCTTCTCCTTTTAGTAGCACACCATATGGATCACTGTTGGAGAAAGATAGGGACTTTTTCTTAAGGATGTCTTTATGATGTTAAAGCATAACATATTCATTATTGACTCCTTGTCACTGTGAAACATTGTATATCATTACCAACTAAATTACAGCTTGAACAACAACAGTTCAATAGCCAGGACTGTAACCAGCTCCTGTGGACGAGGTGCAAACACACACAGGGGACTGGGTTTAACAGAACACAAACTGAATCCCATACACCTATGACCTCAGGCATATCTATATAAATACATACACATACATACACCCCCACGTGTGTATTGATGTGTTTTTATATGTCTGTATCTAGATGCATATATAAATACATAAATATGCAAACACACATAACACATATATCTTTGTGTCCCTCAGCTAAAGATCAGTGGCAGAATATAAACTCAATGGACTAGAATACCTTTCACAACCTTAGGTGACAGACAAAGAAAGCAAAATATTAAACTTCTGTTACTGTTGTTAGTTCCCTCTATGCTAAACAGTGGATTGTTTTGTATGTTTGTCTGTGTGACTCTTTCTGTCTGTCAGATTCCCTCCCATGAGAGGTACACTCATTACAAAAGGACAGCATGAGAGCTTGACAGGGCAGAAACTATCAAAAAGCAAAAACTATTTGCTGTGTTGCTTTCCTCAGCTTAGCATGCAGCCCAATTAACAGATTATCTGTGTGTGAAATTATGGTTATAAAATCTGCATATTGATTGGTCATGTATACAAAATTTGGGAAGTTATGGTATTCAATTGTCCTAGTAAATAACACTGCAAAGCTGGAGAGCTTCACAGCTGGATGTATAAATGACAAAGGTGGATAAACTAAGGGTGCATCTTTGTTAAAAAAATGTTAACAAGCCAGTCAGAACTCAGCATGTCCATTGGCTATTAAATCATGCAGCTTTATCTGTGAACAGCTGAACAATGTAAATATAAGTATTTTCTACTGCATCAACTCAGCAAATCAGAACTGGCTTTATGGTCAAAAAAATCATAACAATTTAAGGTCAAATAATCAATTCACAAGTGAACAGGAAATCAAGTTCAAATAAGTGGTATTGTAACAGTTTTTGCAGTTTGAAAATAGTTCTGCTGCTCCTAAAGAGCATCATACAGATTTAGTTGACCAGACATTGGAGTTTCAGTGTTCCTGCCCATCACTCCTCCTTTTGGCTTCACAGAGCACAAAAAGCAGATATGGAAATTGTTTGTAAAGCACGATGGGGGAGAAAGTACTGAGTTAATTCTGAAGAAAATAAACCAGATACAGGAGAAAAGAATGGTGTGGTTAGGTCAACTGACAAACTAGTAATATTAGTTGTCAGGTTAGGTTCACAGTTTACTCAAAGACATGTTTTATCAGATTTGCTCATGAATTTGCTACAGGTCTGTACTGGGAGCTGCTTTAATCACTGTTTAGAAGAAAGATACAGAACAAGAAGTATGTGAAATGTGCATATACCTTCTCAGAAGACACCTCTGCAGTTTTTCTGACACTTTTCCTGTTTTAGATCAGTGTGCTAAGGGGATGGTTAAACTCAGATAAAAAACTTCTTATGACCTTCCTCTTCCTAGTCTTCATTTACAGAAGCAAATTTACTTTAAGGATTTTATTACGTTTGAAATTTTGTTATAAATTTTTTTTTTTCTCTTCGTACGCCCTTTGGAAAACAATTGGAGAGTGCAATTTGATCAAAGCTCTGAAACTGAAACTGATTTAAGAAAATAAAGCAAAATGCTGTAGTTGCTTAGAAATGTATACAATTTTGGCTCCAATACTGAATATCCTTTGTTGTTGAATGATTAATGAACATATAGTGTTTTTTTACTGCAGGAAATTAAGGCAGTAAATAAAAGCACTACCACTTCTATTTATCAGAGAAGATTCTATAAGGACAAAGCAAAAAAATCTAATATGACAACAGAGAACAAAGAATAATTTTATAAATTCATTGATGTTTTAGCAATACCAAGTAGGTGGTTTAAAATGATATGTTATATGCATAAGAATTATCAGACATGAAAGGCAATTAAGTAAATTATGGTGTAAAAGCCAAAATCCCAAAAGCTTTTGGGAAGACAGAAAAAGGAAGGGATACAGGGGAAAAAGCTCTTCAGAGCTCTGGTTCTGCACAGAGGCTTTCAGGAGTCAGACATAGGAAAGCATCTCTGGATAAGGCTAAGAAAAAGTAGTACTGAGAAGATGCCTCCAATAAAGTACAAATAATCAAAAGAATGGAAACTTCTACAACAATACTGAAGGTAATTTTTTTTGGGGGGGGGGATTTGATGAATTTCAGATCCTGTATCACAGGATATTCTACCTACTTCTGGCTATTACTGGTCCTATGCCAAATTTCATTACAGGTAAATATCAGCAGTGTCTCATTTCCAAATTTTCTACTCTGTATCCCATTTGTCAATAAATTTTCATTTTTTGTATTTCAGTATTTGTTCTAATGTAAACAACACTTATTACTCTGAACAAGCATAAACCCCATAAATACAACATTGCAGAAAGATCACAAATTGAAGGTAGAGATGCTTAGCTATACAGACTTAACAATACCAGTTGGAACCAGCAGCTAACCATTTTGCTTTATTTTTTGCCTCAGTATCTATAAGATTGCATGTTCTTCTCTAGTTAGTCTTCACTACCTTAATTCTTTCTAAACAGAAATCACATTTTATTTATCAGAGACACAATAAAAGGATCTTTGTAAAGTTCTGAGAAAGGATTACTGAAATATTTGGTTTCTAAGCAACACAGTTTTTAGTGCATCTTCACTAATTTTTCTTTAAAATGCTGCATTACAACCTTAACCATCCCACCTTAATCTTCCTTCATTTGACTGTAAGAAGCTGTAAAAACTTCAGAAAAAATTACACACAGTCAAATAATGAAAAAAAAACAATTAAAACTCTTCCTAAGTGTTGCATTTTCTCCAAGTGATAGTGTTCACAGGTACAAATGGCAGCTTTGAATTACCGAAGAATTATGATCCTTTGGGTATAAATTCCTTCCAGTTCTTTCAGAACTTAAAGTGGTATTTCTAATGCCAATATATGAAGGCTAATTGTGGAAAGAAGATTTTTATTTCAGTTCTCAAAGCTAATAATTTGAATTCTTCCTTGTGTCTTTCTTTCTCTCTATGTTAATGTGAGATGATGATGATGAAGAAGAAAAGGTTGCTAGACCAATGTCATCACCTGCACTATTTTTATGGCCATTTTAGCCTATGTTAAGATGGACAGTGTGTCCATCTGCTGACGGACTAAACAGTTGCTGACTGACTAAACAGTTAAAAATACGAGCTGTTAGAAGGACAAAAAACAACCAGCTAAATAACTAAACCACCATCTCAATAACTAAAACCTTGATTTTATGGAAAGGTGAATCTTTCAGGTGTCTTTCATTGCAGTACTTGATGCAGAAATTAAATACTGGTTTGACTTTTGAAATACACTACCAGTTATTTTCTTTTTCTTTCTCTTTTAATGTATCCACTTCAGTAGAAAAGAGCTGTTTAAAATTTCTGATAAAAGTATTTAGCCTAAATTGTTTCAGTCTCTACTGAAAGTATTCTACCATTTCATCAAGCCTTACACAACTTTTCCAAGCAATAACTAACCTCTAGTCATAATCTAAATGGAGTTCACTCCAACTTCACAGTTTTACAAGTTTTTCTTCCCCTTCTTCAAATTTTACTAACAACTGAAGTTTTCTTTACCTTTAGGTATTAAGAAATGTGCAACAGCAAAGTATGCACTCTTATGGATTTTTGTAATTTCTCCTTGTTCTGTAGAGGATATGGTAGAAGGGAGGTAACTTGTAACTCAACAAACTTGTAACACTTTTGCAATAAATGGATGCTATATAATTTTTTAAAAATTTATTGTATACTGAGTTATCTAAGATCTTTTTTCCAGAATTTTCTTCACACTGTCATGATCACTAACAGCAAGCTACTCATTTACCTTTGTCAGATTTTGTTTTATCTCAAGATATAACAATATTTTCAATATATATCGAATATTTGATATATATATATTTCACCTGCAAATTAGAGTAGCACTATACTTTTTGAACAATTGAGCAGAAAATCCTCAACAGTCAGAGCAGACTCTCACAACAAAATCTGTCTCGCTCATTTTCTCTGTTTTTTTCCCTGTTCTATTTGTATCTTTATCATTTCAGCCACAATACATGTATTTGAGATTTCTGTTAAGAGCTCATACCACTCTGTTTTACTGAGTGTATTGTCTCAGTAAAAGCACCAGATTTAGCTTTCTGTCAGACCTGTCCTAAGAAAAACACAGCTTACAGTTTTTCTAGGCTGGCAGTGAACAATATCCCATCATTTCATCTATTATGCTGTCATGTCTTACATCTCCCCAAAGGCTTTGCTTTGTTAAACAAAGCAGCTGTGAAGGCTCTGCCTAATTATTAGAAGTAAATCAATCAGTAATAAATATAATGATATGTAAACAAGGGTTTTTCATCTCACTATAATGTAGGCAACACTTCAACCAGTAACAAATGCATTTTTGAAATGGTTAAACATCAAATGACACCACTTTCCACCACTGCTCTTCCTGCAACAGCTTTACCAGTTCTATTAGTCAGTTTTTTAAAAAAAATCCTTGATAATATATATGCACAGATTGACAGCAAAGAGCATTTGCTCCTCAGCACTTTAATACAGAAAATAGCAGGCTTATAAAATATGTCTACCATCTTGAACAGGAAAAGTCTCATTGACAGTCGCCTACAGCATTCATGTTTTCATACAGCTTAGATTAGGCCTTGTTTTTCAGGTGAGTTAATCTTACATCTTGAGAATCACACTCCTGGGTGCTTTGATTTTCTTCCTTTTTCAAGGCCACATGAAAATTCTCTTTCTTTGCTGAGACATTTTGCCAGACCTGAAAAATAAAAATATAAAATAATAATTTAAAAACATTTATATAATTGAGATAAAATATCAAGTAAGTCACATGTGGAAATTCAGGATAACAATGAAAAACCGAGAGGTCATACACTGCAAACTGTTAACTACTTCATATACTGCATTTTCAGCAAATTTGATACAGTTCTTGTTACAGCACTCCCTTGTAAACGATTACTTCCATATACATTATCAAGATATTCTATCTAAATGCCGAAGGAGGGGAAAAAAGCATTTTCAGAACACATATTCCTGTGACTCTTGTGGATTCTGGGAAAGACTGAGGCTGTGAGTTGACGTGTTTGTGAACTGCTTTAGCTTCCTTTAGCCGTCCACAGCCTCTCTGCTGGCACCTCCCAAGCTGCAAGCTGGCAAAACATTTTCCTTTTCACGCCTTTCTCTCCTTACGCACAAAATAGGCTGCTGCACGGGGAAGGCAATCAAATATCATTTTATAAGCAGTGAACTTCCTTCCACTGAATTGCTGCTTGTTTTAAGCATTATTTTCTGTATTTCCTGAAACTTTTAAGATTCAAAAGGACAAAAAAAGGAGAACATGCACTGAAACTATCCTGAAAGCATCAAATTGTCTGCAAGACAAATTGAAACTCTTCAGGGGGGTGGTGACAGGAATAACTTTTCTGTAAAGGGAAGTCAAAACTTCAGACACCAGTTTTGAAACCTCTCATGCAACTTATACTGCATTGAATTGCTAAGTAATATAAACGATGATCCGAAATTATGAACAGGACAAACCAAACTAAGCAGGTCACTATTTACAATTTAACTTGAACCATGAAAAACAGTTCAGTTCATGGTTGAAATAAAATAGTTCAGATAGTTCAATCTCTGATTAACAGCTCTCCGATGAGGATTTGTTAGTTTTATAGAGCAACTGACTACGGGAGGAAGTAATGTGGAGATATACAAATTTAAAAGATCAATATAAATAATTGTTTTGTTTAATAAATGCCAATTAATACCTGTATTGAGTGAGCAATCTGTTTGGACTGAAAGAAATTACAGTTCTTCAAATCTAAATTTCTTCCCATTGAATAAAAGAAGTGTATGTTCAATAAATTATAAAACCTGTGTTCACTTGATTTCTTGACTACCTGACATAGTGAAATCCCATGAGATGCCAGCAAAACCAGACAGCTTTAAGCCCTACTGACTGAGGAGAATAAATGCCTATGTATAGTACTTCTTATGTATAGTATAGTATGTACAATACTTCTTATTTCAGAGTTTGATTCTTGCTTAAGATTGTACCTTAGCAAATGATACACAATTTCTCAGTGTGTTGTACTCGTTTCTACAGAATAAGGGGAAGTTTGAGATTTTAGGTGAATTAAAATACTGATTCCAAGTGTCACATTTTCAGGTGTTTAAAGCATTTCCTATTTCTAAGAAATTGGAAAATGGGAAAATTTCCAATTGTCTACTGTTTAATCTTCAAAAAAATTGAAGTCCATTAATACATACTAGAACTCTTCTTTTCTCTCTCCCGAAACAAAAGACAAGATTTTGTGGGGTTTTTCAATTTCTATAGTATTGCCTTAGCCAGTAAGATCAGATTCTGTAACCAACTATTAAAATCACTTACCAGAGCTGCACTGCTCAGACACCAGCCAAACCTGGGAGCAGTGAATGCTTCATTCCCCCCATTTTCTAATTAATGGACATTGCATCCCTTCATCTAGCACACAACCATCATCTCCAATTACTTACAATTACACCTTCTGCCTAATTTTTCCACCACTTCTGAAGTCTTAAAGAGGCACCCTTCAACCTTCACTGTAGGGAGAGGAATTTACTTTTCTATAACTATTAAGACACTTGGCATCTTCAGTTGTGTGTGGGAGTTTGATGTTATAATACTTAAGAAACTGAAACCACCAAATAAACACCTTCATTCAACAACACTCTTCATTTTCTACAGCTATCATAAAGGAAAAAGCAATTAACCATGGGACAGTGAACACTGTATAATATTACTTACACTCAGAGCAGTAATAATACACACCAGCACTTTATAGGCAGTTACAGTCTTCCCAAATGAATGAAACAGCTGTTCAAGTTACAGAGACATGAACATCTGCATTGCCAGGAAGACAAAGTCAAAGATGCTCAACCCTGGATGAGGTACAGAACATAGGAAGACCAGCTTGGTGAAGCTGGAACCCTTCTGAATCATGACCTGAATTCCATAAATGGGGTCACTTGGAGAAGTGCTTGTCCTTTTGAGGCTTTGACTTTTCTTCCACAATTCTGCTTTAAAGGGGGCTTTTTTATTGATTGAAGTATGGAAATTTTTATTGATTTAAGTATGGAAATTTTACTGATTTAAAATTTACTGATGGAAATCGAAGAGGAAACTTTTTTTAAAAAACCCTCTACTTGCCTCTTTAAGTCCCTTCTAAACAGTTGCACTTATAAAAAATTACCTAACAATATAATAACATGACAACAGTTCCACCAACAGAGACACGGACTATTGTCTTTCAATAGATACGAGAAAGAAGGACTTAAAAACAATTAATAAATTACCTTGAAATATGCAATGATTAAATATTTAATAGTAATTAATTCTATTACTGCACTGCTTCAAACATTCAATCTGAGAACCATCCAAATAACTTTCAAGGATTTGAACCAAAATATACTTGATGTTAGAAGTTTTTTGTGGTAAATGAATGTCTGCTTTTCCATATGAGAGCACATTCCTTCAGACTAAATGATGTTTAATTTACTATTTTTTATTTTGCATTTTATCTATTGTTGTTTTAGCATAAAATAATAAATGTAGAAAAGGGGGGAGATTAACCATTTTGGATGAGATTCCAGGTGTAAGGTAGTAAGTAGTTTTTTAAATTGCTCAGGGCTAAATTGAACTTAAACAGCTTGGAATTAATCACTAGTTCATTCCTCAATTCTTATGCCTTATGATTTAATGCAATACGTTTAATCAAGTTACTAGAAAACTCCTAATAATGGCCAAAATGCCCCATGAATATTTTCTTTATGAATATTTTCCAAACAACATCTTTGGTCAAATCAAAGAAAAGGATCTTAACTGTTTTAACATAAAAGAATTTTAACTTTCTCTAATGTTTCCCACTTGGCTGCCTATACCCATATCAAGGCAAACTATGTAAGATTAATAATACATATTTTATAAAGCATACATGCATTAATAATTTTCAAATAAATCTTCAATATATCCTTGGGTAGCAAAATTCCCTCGGGAGTACTTTCAAAATTACACTCTATTTTGGAAACCACTTTAAATGTTCCATTAGCTCCTCTGCACATTTTCTGTGTTCATTTACACAGAACATCCATAGAAAAAATTGCTAATATTAAAGAGAATGGGGTTACTAATGTGCAACTACAAAGACACACAAAGACACATAAATTCTGCCTTACTGTCATTGCTCACATGCACATATTTTTTTAACAGAACATGGAACAAACACATCACCTACGAAAGTCAAAAGATAAATATATTACTACTTTTCTGCTAAATGCAACTTCAACTAAAATTAGAAATAGTGTACATTTTACCAATTATCTCTGCTGTCACCAGGCCAAAAAAAAAAAAAGAGAAATATTTTAAAAAATCACTTGACGTGAGTAGGTGATAAAAGATCTGTCTAAAATAGTAACATCTGAAAAGTAATTAAGAGGTCTTCTCTGTTTCTGATAGAGTAAAAGCTTGTCCAGAAATCTGCTGAGCATCACAGCAAGCTTGAGGCTGCTCTAGTCTGGGGTCCTGGCTTTAGACTGAAGCAAAATTAGGTAAACTGGATGGATGCTGTAAATGCTAATCCACATCTCCATGTGAGACCAATCACCATACCTAACAATCTGGATTGTGATGTTATTTAAAATATTTCTTAAGAAATTTGAATTTTGTATATACATACACCTTTTCTACCACCGTCAAGCAGTAATCCACAGTATTTTGAGACATAATATGTAATAGATTTCGGGAGACTTTATTGAAACAGCTGAGAGGTAAAGAGTTAATTAAAAAAGGATATTTGGAGTGAGACTATGGAGTAATTTTAATTTACAGGCAAACAGATCTGCAGTTAACAACCACAAAATGCGCAGCAATGAACAATTAACAGTTTCCTCTTTAACCCATTAGCACATTGCTAATTTCAGAGTTGAACCCTGAGGTAACCGGCCATTCCAGCTACTTACACTCTGCAACAAAGAGGAGCGATGTCAAATAGTTAATCAACTGAAGATAAAGATTGTGCCACTAAAACTTGAAGGAAAAGGATCTTTTGTGTGGTATGTGTGTGTGTGTGTGCTGGGAGGGGGTGTTACAGACTGAAAAAGAGATACCAGGTACTTTTTTCCATTTCCCTTGACTGTATTCAGATAACTGAAAAAAAAAAAGAAGGAAGAGTACTCTGTATTTCAGTCAAATATCAAAAACCTAATTCTAATCTCTATCTGTATTCTCATGTCCCTATGTAACATCAAGGAGACCCCAAATTCTCCAAAGGCTCTGACCCTGGACCAATCTTAAACAGAGACATGCTGTCTAGCTGGCCCTTATCCTTCAGTACTCCTCTCATGACAGAGGCATGAACACTTCCAACCTGAAGAAAAGGACAATAAGAGCAAGCTAAACAATTCTACAGCCACATTAACTAGGAACAATATGCTCCTGAGATCCCAGAGAGCTGCTCAGCTTGCAAACCTACAAAAGGAAAGTCTGCCATCCTGCAGAACATGGATCCAGGGAGCTTAATCTAAATGAGCACTATCATACCCATCTGCTGCTAAACATAAATACAGTGCTTTTTTTTCCCAGAGGTAACAATTTTTGGGAATCATGGTCTTTCCTGCAAAACAGTTATTAATAAACTGACAATCATAATTTTAAGAGTAGCGATGTGATATTCAGTTTAATAATTGCATCCCGCTTTCTGAAATTGTATTTTAATTACATATAGAAAGATTACTAATTTTTGGCTTCAGCCTGTGCACTAACAGTAAATACCAACAACTGCCATATACAAACTGCAGATTGGCTATGAGTTAGCAATTCCTATTTTTATTTCAGTTTTGTAATGAAAAGAGGACATTGAAGTGTCCTTCAGTCCTTCCTCTGTATAACTTCCTTTTCACTGAAATTATAGATTTCTTTTAGTTCTATCTATTCAACCAGTTGAATTCAGGAGCAAAATGCAACACGGGAAATGAAAATTACTAGGACAGTTGGTAATCAACATGAATCTTAACTGGATTACAATATTTGAATTTCCTGACTCAAACCAGTTTTTATCTTTTTTTTTCCTCAGGTTTTCCCTGAAACTGTCCTTCGCATCTTGCAAAACTGGAATATTCCCTATTCCCTACTGTCAAGTTCATCGATCCATTTTGGCAATTTTGATTTGGGTGTCCCAGATGATTTTATGGTTTTTATTTTTTTTTTTTTTCCACTGAGAGAAACCGTGATATGCAAACCTCATATAACTGTTTAGTGCTGTATTACCACAAACTCACTTTCAGTGCCTGACAGGTAAATGATCCTACGAATTAGTACCCTCATTTATTTTAAATGCAAATCCATCTGCATTGTAGATTTATCGTGCAGACACTATCAATCCATTTACCAAGTGACAGAATTTTGTTATTCAGTAAAATGTAGCTGCTTCCCAAATTAAAAAAAAAACTATTTATTGACATCAGAAACAGTCTTAGAATTATCCTCAAAATTTGTCATAATCTTCCAACGAATTTGAAATCCTCCTTAGTTTTAGTTTGATGCTCTTACAAGACACACTTTCAAAGATGTTTAAAAAAACCCCACCCAAGAGTGAAATCATACCTTGGTGCTTGTGCCTTGGGATGGGGCTTGGGAGCCCTTTGCATTGGAGGAAGGCAGCTTCTCAGCTGGTTTGGAGGAGATCAGACTCGCTGCGGGAGGCTGACTGCGCAGAACGGAGCACAGGCAAAGCTGCACAGTCTCCTTCAGAGCTTTCAGCTGGGACTCCTGGGGAAATAAGAAACCATCACTTCTCTGTGATGTGCTGGCATGAACACAAGGGCTTACATTCTCCATCTGTATTCAACCAAACACCTATGAGTAGCTGCTGCTTTTTCTTATTGATGGAAGGAATTAAGACTGTCTAAAGCAGTATTTTTATGTGATTAGGTTACAGTACATTAGACACCAAACTGCCTAGGAAGTCACTGCACTCTCTCCCCATCCCTTCAAGCAGTTTTATCCACATTGATTATTGCAAATAGTACTTAAATATATTTTTTCTGAAAAGAAAAATACTATTTACAAAATATCATACAGTGTCCAGCCTTTTATGTATAATATCTACAGAGAAGTCATAAGTATTGCAAGACACAGACTTTGCATGGAGTTTTGTCTATAACATTCCAAATAATTGGTATTTTTCTACATTATACATAGATTATAATCCAGTTAAGATGGCTTCCCTCATGGGCATATTATACTTTTGCACTATATAGTAAAAAAAACCATAGGTCTTTTTAACAGTTAAAAATATATTTGTCCAGACCCACTACTGTCCATTACGCCAAAATAAAACTTCTAAGTGGTGAAGTGCTTGCGACTCTTATTAGAACATTTGTGCTTTACTCCCAGAAACATAGACAGATATATTGATGGAAACAGAAGTCTGTAATTGAAATAAGCTGAGAAAGCAAGAACAAGGAGATAACTACAGCAGTGAGGAAATCATATTTTAAATCTTTATTTCATCAAAGCAAGACATGGATCAAATGTTAGCCATTGAGGTAAAATCTTACACTCACTCCAGGGGGAGTCAGCAGCATTAGACATTAAAAAAACATTTAATTTCTAGTTTTCTTCTTTTTATTAAAAAGACACCTGTAAATACAGAATGCGTTCACATTTCAATCATCAAAGATTTTTTTAAAGGTATATAAATCAAGGGATACCATGGCAAAAGCTGGTGGAAAACATATGTATATATGGTGGAAAATGTGTATATAACATTACACATTACATATAATGTATGTGAAATATTGCATATAAAATAAAAATATTTCATAGTCATATTTATCCTAAGCAATGCCATACAGCATGTTTTAGTTTATTTTCTTAGCAAATATTTTTGAGAAAATTACAAATATTTTGTTTTAACTCGGATAAACTTCCCCTGAACTGAAAACAGGGAATTTATCTCTTAACTGGAAAAAACTAAATGTTTCTTTAAAAAACAAACAAAGCCAGTTAGTAGAAGTGTATTTCCATAGGAAGACAAAAGACAACCATAGAAAGACCGTTAATGCAGAGCACAATAGGGAAAATTAGAGATATGGGAGACGGAACATGTTATGACCTGCCCTTTAAGGTAAGTCATTAACTTAGGTTCTTGTTAATAGATCCCTTGGGGCAGATTAAGAGTGAAAACCACAGAATTACCTGTGTTTTATATATATGTAAATGTTTTATTGTAGAGCAATTTGGTTGCAGATGAAAGCAAATATGTAACTGTTTTGGTTATTACCTACAGTAACAAATCAATATAAAAGCATAAAAATAACACTTAAGAAAATGAGGAAGAAGTTCAGGGAAGGGAGAAAAAGAAGAAGAAAAGGGAAAAGGGAAAAGGGAAAAGGGAAAAGGGAAAAGGGAAAAGGGAAAAGGGAAAAGGGAAAAGGGAAAAGGGAAAAGGGAAAAGGGAAAAGGGAAAAGGGAAAAGGGAAAGGGAAAAGGGAAAAGGGAAAAGGGAAAAGGGAAAAGGGAAAAGGGAAAAAAAGGGAAAAGGGAAAAGGGAAAAGGGAAAGGGAAAAGGGAAAAGGGAAAAGGGAAAGGGAAAAGGGAAAAGGGAAAAGGGAAAAGGGAAAAGGGAAAAGGGAAAAGGGAAAAGGGAAAAGAAAGAGGGAGGAACCTTAAAAGTAAAAAGATATTACCATCCCTGGATCCAGTTATGAGACTTAGTCGTTGCAATTTTGATGTCCATTGGAAAAAGTACTTCTTTTCAATGTAACATCTCTTAAATTCTACCTTTTCAAGTTAGTGACTGCACAGACAGCATAAATCACCATTTGTTATGGTTAAATGGGCAGAGGTAGCAGACTGGCTAATTTTGCATGATGATATGGACTCAGTCAATCTAGTCTGATATAACCCTAGTGCTTCCTGCAGATGGCACCAATCTGAAATTACTCTCCTCTCATCCAGAAATTTCTCTGGATAATTTCTCATCTCTTAATCCTGCTATCCAGTGCTTATTCTTCCTTGGCAGCAGCCATTCCAATTTTGCCATTTCAAAGGTAAAAGAAGAACAAGTAAATTTGTTTCCATCCTGTGAATAGCATAATTCAGTATTGACTTTGCTGATAGGAGATCTATAAATGAACACCAGGAAAGCACAGGTGAAGGAAACACTATTGGAACCAGGGACGTAATTTGACAAAGTTCGCTATAACCTTGCCTAGATGTGATTGTGATCAAAATAGGCTGCTTACCGGCCAAAATGCTGCCCACATGTGATGCATTCTTCATATGTCCCTGATCTATTTCAGTCCTATCACATGGCTAGATCCACAGAATCATCAAGACTGGAAGAGACCTTTAAGACCATCTGGCAACACAGCACCATTTTAATCACCCCTAAACGCAAGTGCCACATCCAGATGCCTCTTCAACACTTCTAGGGGTGGTACCTCCACCACCTCCCTTGGCAGCTTATTCCAATGCCTAACCACTTCTGCAGTGAAAATAAAATTTCTGATGTCTAATCTGTATCTCCCCTGGTACAACTTAAAGTAATGTCCTCTCATCCTTCCACTTGAGACAAGGCAGAAAAAGCCAACCCCTGCCTCATGATCGTTTCCTTTTAGACAGCTGAAGAGAACAATGAGTGTGAGCCTCCTCTTCTTCAGACCAAACAAGGCCAATTCCCCCAGATGCCCCCAGAAGACCTTCACCAGCGTCATTGCCCTTCCCTGAACTCACTCCAGCACTAAAATGCCATTTTTTAAGTGAGTGGCCCAAAACGGAACAACATGTGAGGTGTGGCCTTACCAGTTCTGAGTACAGGGGGACAATCACTTTCGTAGTCCTACTGGCCACACTACTCTAGGTATCTGGGGCCTGATAGTTCAAAATTTGTAAACATTCTAAGGGTTCATGTGGGAAATAGAAAACTGCTCTAGTGTAAATAAACTTATGACTGACACTAAGCCTACAGTCAGCACAAACTGTAGTTCAATAAATACCTAAATCTACTAAAATCAGTGCAAAATTTTTTGAGCTGTTTTTTTTTTTCTAATTTGACCATCCTCTTCTTAAATAACTTTGCAGATGTACTTAACTTCATGTATCATAATTAGTTCCACTGATTTCAGTAGCATCTCTCTCAGGTACAATTCATATGCAACTTAGTATCCATCTAAGTAACTTCAAGGCTTTCATTTGTTTTTGTCAAATTACACCAAAACACCCACAGCCGATATAGGTAAACATGCTTACATTACATGACACTTCTTACTTGGTCAAGGGCTGCGTTTTCCAATTTGTCTTTTGCAACAGATAGTTTTTGCTCCAGATCTGTTAGCTGTTGTGCCTGTGGGGATCAAGAAAAAAAAGCTGATGCAATCTCCAATGCATTTTTTCATGTGAGAGAGGAAAGAACAGGAATTTTGCAAGTAATATATATGGGCTGGGTCAGATTTGCTTTTCCTGAGGAAAAAAAAAAAAACCATTATGGCCAAATGTGCTCCACTGATGTGAATGCAAGCTTATAATAATTCAATGTCAATAGCAAAATTATTTCCATACTATAAAATATTTAAGATTATGCCATAATATCCTTCTGGAAAATTCAAGGTATTCAAATGTCTTCTAATAATTTTGTTCGTTTGTCTGATTTCCAGGTGCAATTTGAAAATTATTTTGTAGTTTTAGGCATTGTGATGCCAACATTAAGCTAATTGGGCATAAACAGACAAATTAGAAAACACCCAAACATTCTTGCATGCAGGCACCTTATGAAATTATACTACCTACTACTATACAAGGAGGTAACTCCAGATTTTTTTTCCTCCATGTCTTTTCCTGGAAATAGAGAAGGAAAATGCACAAGACTAGCTAACTCATAGCAGGAAAGCAATTTGGGAGACTTGTGTTGGAAGTCAGGATCAGGCTAGTAGCCTGCACCCTGGGTGGAAGGACTTCTGGCTCTGTATAATGTATATGTCATTCATGGAGCACAGGAGTTCAGCAGAAGCTTTTTAAGTGAGTGGCCCAAAACAAAAAGCATCAGAAGATGCTTTTAAATGTTCAGTAAATAAGGACAAGTATTTTCTCTCTCTTTCCCAAGGATATGTATGAACCCAGCCTGTTCACTTGAAGGAAATACATTCTCTGCAAGACTCTTCTGCTTCAGGAAAGCAGATTCCTGAAGTTGTCAGCCTTGTCATTAATAACACATGACTATGCAACCAAAAGGAATAAGGATTCTTTTGCTGTTGTACCTGCAAAAAACCCAGCCTAGCCATTGTTTTCCCTGTTTGAAAAGGGAGCCATAGAGAAGGACACTGGACTAGCCACTTATCTTTTCTCTCTGAAATTCTGATTAGGTAAATATACATTTTGTATATGCAAAATAATAGGATAAAATTCTCAATTTTCAGATAAAGAGCACCACATTTTTATTTCAACCCAATGTTTGCAAGTGCATTTTCCCTCAACACCATTCCATGCCCTCAGGCTTCTGGAGTTCAATCCCAGCCAGAGAGTTTTTCTTGGCAGACCTTTCAAGATCTCCTGCACGCTGCTGATTGTAGCACAGCTTAATGGATAGCCACACTACGTAAATGCTATTTAGTGTAAATCCTGTAAGGTTAACTTGTTTTCTGCTGGGGTAATGACAGTCCTTCCAGCACATGGCATAGATGAGGTGGTGAGCTTAGGCAAGCCTGTAGTCCTCAGCAGACAGCTAGTGTGATGTTCATTTGCATTAGGCATAGTCTGTTCTGCCAAATGAAATGTCAAAAGTCTGGAATTTTCAGTTCCCAACTCGTGTAAAGAACTGAGTAGCTGCATTTTAAAACAGGATTAGGCATTTATCTTCAGATTTATCACCAGAGTCACAGTTTCATTAGTCAAAACCAAACTTCCTTCAAAGTGCAAGTCAACTGTGACGTGGGAAAGTCTCTTGTGAATTGCTGTCCATAATTTACACTGCATCACATTCCTTACAGCTAACATCAGTCACTGCCACAACATACATATCAGACCATTGGTTTGACCCTTTAGTCTGGCAACAGAGAATTCACTACAGAAATAATCCTTCCACTTTATCAGTTTGCAAAATTTAAGTGGAGTTATTACTGATTTACTAGAGAAAAAAATTACTGATATAAGAAATTGCTAGAATTCAGTAACTTTTTGGATTTTTTCCTAAATATGGTATACAGCATCGCTCACAATAAACACGGCCACAGAAAATGTCTGAAAGACTGGACATTGACTCTATGTGACACAGAGACACTTCTCATAGAACTAGACCAAGAAATTTCTCACATCATTAACATTTTTATACTGTTACTTCTTATTTTTCAGTACAGCTATACAAATTAATACACTCTCAATTAAAGAGAATCAAGATTTGAAAAACTGCATCATTTCAATTGCCACTAAAAAGGAAATTACACAAAATAACATATGACAAACATGAGGCTAGGATGGCACCTCTGACAGCGTGCAGAATTAGACTCAGATGGAAATGGTGAGGACCATACAACTAGGCAACTTCTTATTTCAGCACCATCAGATTTACAGTCTAAATCAGTGAAAAAACAGAGCTACAGTCATGAATTAGAGGGTGTCTGGTTTCCTTCAATACATGCATTACGTAGGCATCTGAAAGTCTTGGCAGTTGACAGAAAGCAGGCAGTGGTGGTTAGAATTGACTACTGTCTTGTTCTGGTTTGAAAACAAAACCAATGAGAGACTCCAAATCAAAAATACAGTTTATTAGGAAAAGTGAGAAAAGGAAACAAAATACCTGCAATAATACAAAAGAAAAACCACTGACAGAGTCAGAATATAACCTGATACCCTTTTTGGTCAGGGTTGGAATGGCTGCAGTCCTCCTGGAAACCCAGTGGAAAAGCCTGAGTTTGGTGTCCCAAAAACCCAAATTCTATCCAGTAAGGAATGCTTGGCTTCTCCCTCTGGGTGGAGCATCTCACAATGGGATGCTGTAACTGTTATCAGTCATGCAGTGACATTCAATAGCCCATTATCAGCTGTTATGCGGCATGATGAAGTCAGCCTGTAGCTTATAGAACTTATTATCCCTAATAATGTGTTGCAAGAGCTCTGGAAAAAAAAAAAAAAAACAAAAAAAACCTCTACTATTTAACATTGCATTTATGTTTATACCTGGTATTTATAATAGTTTTTTTAGTTCAGTCATGTCTTTCCTACACAGTTCTGGTAAACTTTCCAAGGGAGGCTGCACAAGATCCAGATGCTGAAAAACCACGCTGGATGAACAAACACACCCCAGACTAAAGATCCTGTCTGAAAGCAAGAGAAATTGCAGTATTCTCTCAGGGAAGTTGGTACAACAGGCCAAAAAGGAAACTGTTCCCAGTTTTTTCTTATCATCTCCTTCGAAGACTGAACTACAGAAATTGTATTTACCATTACAGGGCAATGTAAAAGTAGCAACAAAGATAAGAGCATTCTTTCTGAGCTAGACACATAAATGCACAAATAAAGTTATAGGAAAGTGACACAGCTTTTTTTTTTTTTTTTTTTTTGTGCAAAGCTTTCTGCAAGGAAAACAGGAGTTTAATGGTACTTTGAACATAATGAAGAATGCTTTAAAATCTGTTAAATGGACTAGTTTTTCACATATGCAAAGTTAGCTGAATTCTGCAGCTGATAATTTTAATACGTGCAGAGGCAAATCATGGGGGAAGTGGATGTACATGAGGTGCTTTAGGATCAAGCCTAGTCACCAGAACTATACAAATAAAACTGTATTAGAAAGCCTGAAACTTGCATCTTCATATATGTGCCAGTACACAAAGTACTTCTGTAAAAATTTATCACAAATTAAAAAATGTAATCAATCATCACAAGCCCAGAAAGCAATCCTAATGTTTACGCAAATTGTCTGCCAAAGCAGGTGGTTTTCTGCTTGTTTTTTTCTTCCTTTGTTTTTCTTTTATTATTTCATCTCTTTCTCTGTATGTAATATGGAATCTCATTGCCTTCATTAGAGAAATAATTAATTTAAAATTCTGGGAAATCAGTTTACTGTGGCATGTAATTAACTTTGCTAATAGAGAAGGAAACACACACGGCATCAGTTTTACTTCAGAGGGAGGAATGGTACAGATATTTGCCAAATCCAGTCAATATGATGCAAAAATAATTTCACATAGTTTTGTATTTGACTCTACCACAGCAATTATTTAAATGATTTTCACATGTCAAATAATGACCTAGTTTGTGCAGAACTAGGTGTTTCAAAAAATGTGGAAATAGTCTTGACTCTAAATTTGCAAGGGTGACATGGTCCTTAGTTCTTTAGAGGCATTGAGCACCATAGTACGTGAAACATTACTAAGGAGTACAAGAGTACTGAAGGTAAATTACAATCCTGTTACTTTGTGAAGCTGCACATCAAAGAAAGATGTGAATTCAAGAGTATCATCACAGAAACAAGCTAAAACAACTGTAAGGAGCAGCAGCAGAGGTTGTCAAGTGCCGGGACAAGGTTCTCCACTACCCTCCCTCCTTCCTGTCCATTGCCCCTCTCTCCCAGTAATCCCCACTACAATTCCTGCCTGCCCTCTGCTTGCCATTCCTACCTGCACACCTCTGTCTTTGCTGCTCCTGACACCACTGACTCCAGCCATGCACTGGATGTGGCAGACATGCTCTGGTTTAACACTATTACTGGGCACCTGGGGGCTCTGAACATGTGGAGAAGCCTCAGGGACTCCCCGGGGACTCCCGGGGCCCAGAGCAGATCTTTGTTCAGTGCACACCCACCCTGACCACAACGTTTCAGCAGGAAACTGATCATGTCTGTGTACTCAACTGCATCCACATGGTTTGCTCCTCAGAAGAAGGTGCCCAATTATAAACCAGGCACTCATGTAAATCCACCTACAGAGTACATATTAGCAGTTACCCGACTTGCTGTAAGCTAGTGTTTGCTAAGGTACTAAGCTGTGGTATTATTTGTTATAATAGCCAATCCTCTTTGCTTGCTTATTTAAAGTTAAATTCTACCATGGAACAAAGATTAAATACATTGTTAGGCCAGGTGCTGTTAGTTGCTACTCACATTTGAATTTTTTCTTGTTTTTCTAGGACTGCCTATCAAGATACTTTATCTTGGAATATGAACAAAAAGTAAAAGAGATGAAGTGGTACATCAAATATGTCTGAACCTGTAGCAAAAGCCTTAGAAAAAAGCAAAGATATGCTCAAACCATACCACTGAAGCATGGTCACCTTTTAAGAGGAATGTCAATAATACAAGGTGCGTGTATAAACTGACATTCGAAATCATTGCTGGATTTATTTTTACTCATCTCTTATTACTATCATATATACACGTATGCATTTTGTGAACAAAAAACCAAACTATTTTTATTTTTTCCTATTTTAGTAAAACATGAGCTTTCTTCCAGAGCAATACAGCCTAATAGTGGGAAGACAGTTAATGAAGGAGAAGCAATTTAAAAAAGAAGTGGTCTGTGATGTCTGAAGCAAATGCAGACCTCAATCTAGCAGAGAACTTAAACTTAGAAGTACTTCACTGAATCAGGGGTTTAGGATGATAATTGAAATTATTGCAATCAGAGTAGTGTCATTCATAATTAGTAAGTAGCTACGTACAAAGGCAGTGATAAAATTAAGAACATTCAGTGGCAATTTTTATTAATAATTTCTTGGTTTTCACATTATAATACAAAATCAAATTTTAACTTGGGTCAATTCTTTAAGGATAACATGCTAAATGCTTTAAGGCACTGAGATCTGAAGAAGACACAGAACCTCAAATTACGATCTCAGCAGAGATACAGACAAGCTCTATAGCCTTGGGTGCATAAATTAATTTTTGTGATGCTCATTACTTATCTGTTCCATGGCTTTATATCACATAGGGAGAGTTTTGAAAATATAAACATACGCACATATGCTCCCTAATTAATCAGCTAGATTGTAAAACACTTTGAAAACATAAGTAGTGTAAGTAAGATATGATAAAGGAGATATGATCTACCAATTCACTGGAATGTTAAAGAAAAAGCTGCCTTTTCCCCATTTTCTTTTCCTCTCCCACTTAATCCCCAGAGGTCCAGTTCAGACCAGAGCCATTGACAGTAATAAGTACCAGAATTTAAGAAATAGTTTCTTGAGGTCTATTATGTAAAATACAAATCAAACAATCCCTCCCTATTAATTTCACATATGTCTGCAGAATTAATCCTTCAGAGAAAGACTTATTTTGAATGGACATGAACTGCAGCTTTCCTCGATGCCCTTTAGAAATCTAATAGCCTGCAGCTTACATCCTTCTGGTGAACTGCTCCAAGAGGCTTGCAGTCTTCAGATCTACATGGAGAGCAGACTTCCCTGAAATCCTCAGTAAGCCACACAGAAGATAAAGTTTAGCGGGATGGGAAGGGAGTGGCAGGGCAAAAGGTAAAAGCCCAGTAACGTGGAAGTAGCTAGCAGCCAGGATTTTACCCCAGACATTCATGCTGTGCCAACAGGAAGACTGCCCATTTCATTTATCAGAAAGAGTAACAGCTTCATAAACTTGGACTAAACCTATGCATTAAAAAAACAAAAACAAAAACCAAAACCCAACCAGAAAAAAAAAAAAACAACCAAAAAAACCCCAAAGAGCAAGCAAGCAAAAAAAAAAAAAAGCACAGAAATCACACTGTTGTTTCAATGGCCCACTCTATTACTCTGTATTTACATATTCACAGCACTATAGATACAATAGAGAAACAGCAGAGAGAGTTAAACGCTTCCAGAAGACAATCTGGAACTCATAGTGACATGAATGACTTGTAAGTAATTCTAGGTCTAGTAACTTGGAAGATGACTACTTCATGTCCATCCTTTGTGCTGGGAATATATAAAGGGACTACTCCACTAACAGTCATCAGTCAGATGACCCACATCTCTCTCCTCTTCCTTTTAACAGGGATTAGCTTCTCCCTGTGTTAACAAGGACTAGACACCCTTCAGCAATGTCTTTATGTTTTGTCCTGCCCTCCTTTATTGTAAAAATTTTTATTCTTTTTTAAAATGTGCTAGCTAGTGCAGACTATTGATTTGGATTGTTTTAGCAGCAGATGTTTCTTTTTTCTTAAATCTTAAGACCTAAGGAACACTACATTGCTCAAGCTTATCATGAACACAGAGAGATTTACTTTAAATGTTAACAATAGTTGACTTTGCCATGGAGGAGTGCTAATTAAAGGAAAAACAAGAAGCAGCTGTAAAATATGATATCATTCAGTTAAAAAGATGACGTTACAGAAGGTATGGAATAGGGCAACAGGTTTTATTCATCAGCAGTACCCTAGAATTTTGCTTTTTGCAAGCACAAAAATATATTCTATTTCTGAAAATCCATTATGGTATTAAGTCTGTCTTGATGTTTTGAGTTCTTTTCAGAACAAACTTCTTCCTGAGAACTGCAATAATAAAGGCAGCTACCATATTCCTACTTCGCTACGATGCTGTATAAATGCTAATATACTTTAGCTAACTATAGTGAAATAAAACTTACCTTAAAAATCAAATCCTTTTTCCCATAATGAAGCTCTTTCAGCTGGGCTTGGATCTTTTTTGACTGAAAATGAAGATAATCAAATCAGGTTTTGGGTTTTTTAAATTTTAAATATTAAAAAAAATTATGTGAATTCTGAGAACAGCAGAACCTAGATCAGATTTATAATGTAGAATGTCCCCCTCCAAATAATTGTCGATTGCTTTTCCAGCTTCACAAGTCAAACCAACCAAAAGTACTGAGGAAAATGCAAAATAGCACACACCCAACTAAAGCACATACCTGAGTTAGGACTGTAAAGAACAGCAGCTGGGCTTACACATTTTGGACATGAGCTGTTATTAATACTTGCCATGAAGCATAACTGAAGGCATCAACTTCAAAGTAAACAATCTTATTCTTAGAAGCAAAAAGCCTCCATAGGCTTATAAAAATCTTTGTAAAGATCAGGGTGATGCAGGTGGTATCCAAAGTAACTACTTTGGAGCTACCTTCTCAGTTTGTAACCATGCCCTTGAAAGTACAGGCATAGTTATGCTTATTTATATCAGTTTAAGCTGATATTTACTTTATATATTGCTAAATATATCCTTAAAATAATTCTAAGTAGTAGTCTATATATTATTTTATTAATTGAAACAAAATAGAAATTGATTTTTTGTACTAAACTCAACTATTCAAGGAACATTATTTCACCATTTATCCAAGCATCCTCTCAAAGTAATAATTTGTTTTTAATAAAATACACAATCCCAACTGATAAACAATACACTCTCTTGTATTAATTCATGCCAAGTGTTTCGAAGTCCTTGGAATGGATTAGAAATCTGTTTCACATTTACTGAAAGAGCATTCCATAAACATAATATATTACAAAAGGAGTATATCTTAAGTTGGAATTTTAAAAAAGATTTTATTTCTTACCAATTGATGCAGTCCAATTCAGCGACAGACGTTTGGGAAAGCTGAATGAATCTAAGGAATGGTATTCTGTAAAATCTGAAACTAATAGCAAAGATCAGTGCAGCAAAATTCTTTGAAACAATTTTGATTTTGAAAAAATTAAGAAAAACATTTCTAATCCTATTATTTCCTACCTTTGAGAATTTACCAGAAACTTGACTTTCTAAGTACTGATCTCAAAAGGCAGAGACTCTAATGAAGAAAATGCTTTCAATCATCATTAGGAAAATTTTAGTACAGAGGAAATTTTTTATGCTTTGGTTTCTTTCTGGCAAGGTGCAATAACCTTAAGAGAAATTATATATGCAAAAAACCCAGACTAAAGTAATGTAAATAAATCAGATTCACATGTAATAACTTTTTTTTTTGAAATTAAAAGAGAAATAAAGGGAATGCTTATATGATTGCAGGTACTTCTACATTGAGGAATTGGCCAAAAACAGGATCTTTATTCCCCTGAAATAAGGAAGGATTCTGGAAATCACTAATAATGGATTGTTCCTGTCTCAACTTCAAAACAAGCCTTTGGCAATTCCTGGCTTAGTGTAGACAAGGAGTTCACGTAAATGAAATCAGTTTTATATATGTTATAGATGCATATATCTATAGAATTTTATCATAGGCACGCCTAGATGATTTTACCAGTCTAAAACTAGAGTTTGCAACTTGCTTTCTAATACATTTGAACTGCTTCGTGTGAAGTCACAAAAATAAGTTGGGATGACAGCACTTCAGGAACACTCACCATATAAGCATAATATATATATTTTCTACTCATATGTGTTTTTGTATATATATAAAATACACCAGGACCTCAGTACAAAATACTTTGATGCAAATTCTTTTGGGTACATTAGATTTAGAACAGAGAGGAATCTTCCTTACCTCTTCTGCGTGCAAAGCACCAAGCTTGTTTCCTGACCAGAGCTTGCCGCCCCCCCCGCCCTGCGCTCACAGACACCGCCCCGCGCGCCGCTCGCGGTGCTGCTGACCCCACAGCCCCTGTGCACGGCACCGGAACCGCCGCGGAAAATCCCGTCGGGGGGCGCCGGCGTTGGGGACAATTCAGGCAGTGTAGAAAAAACAGACACGGGTCCTCGAATGCCGACGTCCTCTTTTTCGCGCCATCTCGAGAAGGTCAAGCGAGTCCGCGACAAGCCACTCCCAAGATGGCGGCCGCGGGCGGCGGGCTGCAGTACCGCCCTCTGCCCACAGGGCGGCAGCACTGCCGCCCGCCACCGCCGGGGGCCGCCGCTCGCCTCGGGGCCGCGGGCGGGGCCGGCGGCAGAAAAGAACGGGCGCGATGCCCTCCGGAACCTGCCCTGCAGCAAATGCCCCAAAACATCCCGCGCGGAAAAGAACGCCAGCAAAAAAACCCCTGCCTCTAACCCAACAGGAACCAAAAGCAAAAACCTTCTCTTTTAAACTGCATTTCAAGCTCTTTTATTTTTATATTTTTCATATTTATATTCACATTCGGATTTATAACGTATATTGATGTGTAATTGTATTTTTATAATTTCTTACATTTATTCCTATTATATTTTATTATATTTTATATTTTTACACATATCTTAATATATTGCTTGTATATTTCTATAGTTAGATTTAGATTTCTAAAAGGTTTATAGGGCTTAAAATAAACCCCTGCCTCTATGCAAGTAAAAATTTTTTAAAAAACCCCTTTCTTTAAACTCCGTCTAAATTTATCATTATTTTTCGCATTTATGTTCAAATGTACATTTTTATTGTAGATTGATGTATGGTGTTATTTATAGTCTATCTCTTCCTCATACTTATTTTTATTTACATTTTATATTTGTATATTTATCTGTATACATTGATTATCTATTTCCATATTTAGATAGATACCAAAACAAAATGTATATTCATCGTTTTTCCATTAAAACCCTGCCTCTAATCAAATAAAAGCAAAAAAATCCCTTTCTTTAAACGCTACTTGAATATTCATATATTTTTTCATCATTATAGTCACATGCACATTTCTCCTTTATATTGATGTATCTATAAATATATATTATATAGATAATAAGGTAGCAAGATAGATAAATTTTCATTTCAATTCTATTTCGTACATACCACTAATACTTATAGTTACTTACCTTTGAGATTTTATATAGCTCTTAACGTATTTAGGATATATTTCTATACATAGATTTCTAATTTTATTTTATTTATATTTATCATTTTTATAATAAAACCCCTACCTACTACCAAATAGACAATTAAAATCCCCTTTACTTTAAACTATATTTAGATATTTCTTTATTTCTATTTTCGATTTTCACAAGTACTTATATATTCTATCACAATATCTTGAGGTACTATATTTCGAGCTATAATTCCTATGACATATAATGTGTCATAATAAGACATATACAGTAAAATATGCATTATGTACTGTATTGATTCCTATTATTTTGTCATATTTATATATCCACATGTATTAATTATACGTTTCTAAATGCATATTTATATTTATAATCTACATGTATATGTATATAAACATATAAAATACCCTATATCAAACAATATAATACCTAATAGTAATGGATAACATTATTCATGTTACATGTTTTATTTATATGTTTTCCGTTCATATTTAAAATTGAAGTTTTATATTCTTATTTTCATATTTATGCATTCCTTTTGTTTCATTCGAGTTAAAACTTTGCAGTTCTAATCCAGTTCCTCAAACTAAAATGCCAAAACAGCATCAAATTCCCAACAATGCCGTCCAAAATATTCAGAAAGGTTCCACAGCCAACCAACTACCGGCAAAAAAACCCGCACTACACTTCTTTCACTAGCGGTTCTTATCACATCACAAAAATGACACACATATTTTTAAGAAGACCTATAGAATGGTAGTGCGGGTGGGGGGAGGTAGGTGATTCCCAGGAACAATTAGCTATTTAACATTTCAATGTCAGTACTTAGCCCAAGCCAAGTGTCGCAGCCAAGCTGTTTTGTTCATAACAAAACCCACACAGCAAATCACAAAAAAACATTAAGAAAAAAAAAAAAAAAAGCCAACTAACTCACTATACTCCAAACCATACAACAGACCCTGAAAGCTACTAAAAATGAAAACCATACTTCTACACTAACTCAAAGAGTAACCATTACTGTGCTAAGTTAACTTTAAAAACTAAAGTCATAAATGATATTAAAAAAATCTAAGCCACCGGACAATAAAAAGATAAGTACCCAAATAAAAAACTACCTAAAAAAATCCACAATATAAATACACAAATTCCTAAAAAAAAAAACACTAATAAAAAGCAACCAACAAATACATCAAACTAAAACAGAAACCCAAATAAATAAATTTATGTACAAAAAAAATCATTCCTAACTCAATAAAGCCATAATGCCTCAAACCATCAAAATACAACCACCTAGAAATAAACACATTGCCAAAAGATAAATGTAACCATAAACAATAACTCCCATATTACCGGTAACAATAAAACATCCACGACAATTAAACAAACCAAATGAATAAAACATCTATAGGAGAATTAACAAGAACGCAATTACGAATATTAAAAAAAAAAAACTTACTTATTAACTACAGGACACTCCCTCAAACCCACAAAAACAAACACTACATACTCACACTAATAAAAGCCACCACAGCCTAATTAGAAACCAACGCTGTACCTCATGCTACAACCCATAAAAACCATTGTAAGCCTTAAAAAAACATATCCTTTAAGAACATAACGACAATTATACTTTTATAATATAAAAATAAGTAAAAAATCCAACATATCCGACCAAAAAAAAAAAAAAAATCCAACAACAAACTCAATCCAACAAAACCACTTGTCATCAGCACCTGAACCAAGAACCATAACAACCAACAAGTTCACCACGACCCTTCTCATACACCAACGACGAACAAAAGAAAACGATCCGATAAGCACCTCACAGCCACCCCAGGCAGGAAGGCTGGAAAATGAGAAGCCGCGCTCCCGGCAGGAAAGCGGCTCCTCGGGCAGGCACAGGCGGCGCCGCGCCGGGAGACCCCCGCCCGCTCCCCCCGGCCCGGCGGGGCCGGCACCGGGCCCGGGGGGCCCCGGCGGCGCCCGAGCCCCGCGCCCGGAGCGGACGGAGCGGCGGCACCGGCCGGCACCGGCGCAGCGCCCGCGCCGCCTGCCCCGCCCACCGGCCCGGCCAAAGCTCCCCTCGGCTCCGCACGGCTCGCACCGGCGCGGCTCCGGCAGTCCCGCGGCAGCCCCGCCGCGCCAAACTCCCCTCCCGCCTCGGCCATCCCCAGCCACTGCCAGCGGGGCTCCCGCGCTGGACCCTTCGCTGCCGGGCCAGGGGCGCCCCAAATGCAGCGGCACAGCCCCATGCCCACCCTGCCAGCGCTGCCACAGCCGCGCCTCCCTTCCTTTGAAGCCCCGAAACTGAAGCCACGCTCGGGCGCTCGCCTCACTTCAACAAGGGCAAAGAAATGTGGGCTCCCCTTCCATTGCATCCCCTAGAAGAACAGAAAAAAAAAAGGGCCTTCCTCAAATGATGACAAAGGGGGATTTTCACCTCAATCCAAACCCTTTAAAAGGAGGGACAACAGGGCAGCCCCCTCCATTTCAACCTCAGGATGATGAAAAGGTGGGGGCTACCCTGAAGTCAAACCCATCATATGACAACAATATTTTTCCCGTTCCATTTAAAAGAGAATACAAGGATTCCCTGTCTCCCCTGTGACATCCCTAACACCCTGGAAAAAAACCCAAGATTTTCTTCAGTCAATACCCTTAAAAAAAAGGGAAGGGAGATCCCTCCCAGTTCAATCATGGACAATAATGGAAGAGGAGTTGCTTCCCTCATTTTGAATGTCTTTTGTCCGCAATACCCTCAATTTTTTATTTTTTTTTTTTCCTGGGAGCACCAGGGAGTGACTGGCAAGACGAAATTCAAAAGGGAGAGAAAAGTCCCCGCAACAAAGGTGCACCGGCTCACCTGTTTGGCCGCTGCTTCTCGGCACAAAGGTTTGTCCCTCAGCACCTCCTTTGAGCAATGCTCCACGTATCCAAGTGATCCCCCAGACCCTGTCCAAAGTGCTCACCTTCCTTCCATGAGACAGCCCCAGGAGCCCCCCATAAACTCCTCTTCTCCAGCAGTTCCATGCAAAAGCAATGTGAGGAAAACCCCCTAAATCAGCCCCCAAAGGAGCCGCCCCCTCCTCATCATCCTCACAGCTCGCACCTGGGGCTGCTCTGAGCCCTCTGCATCCTCACAGCTCACACCTGCCACTGTTGCTATTCTCCAACAGCGTCTCTCTCTCCCCAGCACACAGCCCACTTCTCACAGACACAGATCCAACAGAAATCTGCTACGGGTGTTGGCTTTTCTTAATCCATCTGGTTACACGATTAAAACACATACATGCATTGATGGTCATTGAGAGAAAGCTTTCCCCTGGAGAAAATAGTCCTTTTGGTAGCACACTTTCATACACCTTCGGAACAAGCAGAATCAGCACCAACTCCTAGGACCCCTGCCGAGGAACCCGGCCCTCCCTGGGACACCCAAAGCAGCAGACCTCGGAAAAGGAGGGGAAAAGTCAAGCTTGGAGTGGAAAAAGAGAACCTAAGTACAGCAACCTTTAAAAATGCCTGCACGGAGCAATAGTGGGAACCAGTCCCATTTCTTCTTTCCTTGCTTTCTGTGATGACATAAATATGAAATAAAAATACGTTAAACAAAAGGCAGAGTTAGGATTTTACAGGTCTTTATTTTGGCAGGCTGCATGACAAACACCTCTTCCGGGACTGCGACGCCTTTGGGGGAATGGCAGAGAACGGAGGCAAAAGGTGCCGGAGAGCCCTTTCTGTTCCCTTCAGCCCCTGCAGCTGCTCCAGTGGTTTCAGGGCACTTGCTTGGTTCATTCCTAGAGAAAAAGGCTAGGGCATGATTTTCAAAACTACTGCCCATCCCCAGTCAGAGTTTCCTACATTCCTGGGTACAAAGGAGCGGATAGACAGAGGGCTTCTTTCCAAATGAGTTTAGCGATAGATTCCTATTCTTTACCAATAGCTGTGAAAACGAAACACTTGTCAGGTTTTAGTATTCTACACACAGCCCTCCCTGGG